TCCAACACCCATTTTATTCATTGTTACTTTGCCTACACACAGTACGTTAAGCTGTGGCAATGCTTAAGCAGGAGAGGAAGCAGTATTTGTTGGTAACATGATATAACTAGACTGCACCAATGTTTTCAAACCATATAATTACTACAATCCACCCAGTGTACGGTAACATAGCACACCCTCATCACCTACATTGAAATATTCCTCTTTTGTGAGTCACATTAGATGTCCTTCACCCAACACATTTGTGTAATACTCATCCGCTAGAGATGGTTTACGTTCTTGTTTGATTGGATGCTGTTGATTTCTCTACGCGGAAAGATTTTGTTTGATTTGTTTGTATTCCTGAACGTTATTTTTCGCAATTGTAGTGTGATTATTGATTATGCTTGTTATGAAATAGGTCTTTGCTTGTTCCTGTTTTTAATTTTTGTCTTACAATATGCCCATTGTTTTCGCCTTTGTGTGTGGTACGTTAGTGTATATGTGCGATCTTTTATTTTACCAATACGTGATTTTTGATAAATATTATTTGTGTTGTAAATGCACGGTATTTTTACCTAATGCATCGTGCGTCTTATTTTGTTTATCTGTGGTGCATTTAGTGTTAAAATTTGCCATGTTTTCGTCTCTGGTTTTGTAATACATTTCTCCTACGTGTACATATTATTAAACAACAAGACTTCCCCGTTGATCAAAAAAACATTGCATTAGACAAAATATTATACACAAAAATACACATAAAGGTATTTTTAAAGTTTTTTAAATAAATTCAACAGTGGAAGTCGATTACCTGTTTGGCAGGCAAGCATGAGTGTAGTCAACACCACTAGTCAGCTTACATATATTACGTGGATTAAATTCAATTAAACTTTTCTGCATACTCAACGTTCAATAACCTGGCAAATCGTTGGCAGACACCCAGCTGCCATATGGATGTGTGACAGACATCCAGCTGTCATATGGATGTGCAACAGACACACATCTGTCATATGGATGTGTGACATACACCCATCTGTCATATGGATGTGTGACAGACATCCAGCTGTCATATGGATGTGTGACATACACCCATCTGTCATATGGATGTGTGCATACACCCATCTGTCATATGGATGTGTGACATACACCAATCTGTCATATGGATGTGTGACAGACATCCAGCTGTCATATGGATGTGTGTAGACACTCAGCTCTCACGTTGATGTGTGACAGACACCCAGCTGTCACGTGGATGTGTGATAGACACCCAGCTGTCACATGGATGTGTGACAGACATCCAGCTGGCATATGGATGTGTGCAGACACTCAGCTCTCACGTTGATGTGTGACAGACACACAGCTGTCACGTGAATGTGTGACACACACACAGCTGTCATATGATGTGTGACAGACACACAGCTGTCATATGGATGTGTGACAGACACCCAGCTGTCATATGGATGTGACAGACACTCAGCTGTCATGTGGATGTGTGACAAACACAGCTGTCATATGATGTGTGACAGACACCCAGCTGTCATATGATGTGTGACAGACACACAGCTGTCACGTGAATGTGTGACACACACACAGCTGTCATATGATGTGTGACAGACACACAGCTGTCATATGGATGTGTGACAGACACCCAGCTGTCATATGGATGTGACAGACACTCAGCTGTCATGTGGATGTGTGACAAACACAGCTGTCATATGATGTGTGACAGACACCCAGCTGTCATATGATGTGTGACAGACACACAGCTGTCACGTGAATGTGTGACACACACACAGCTGTCATATGATGTGTGACAGACACACAGCTGTCATATGGATGTGTGACAGACACCCAGCTGTCATATGGATGTGACAGACGCTCAGCTGTCATGTGGATGTGTGACAAACACAGCTGTCATATGATGTGTGACAGACACCCAGCTGTCATATGATGTGTGACAGACACACAGCTGTCACGTGAATGTGTGACACACACACAGCTGTCATATGATGTGTGACAGACACACAGCTGTCATATGGATGTGTGACAGACACCCAGCTGTCATGTGGATGTGTGACAAACACACAGCTGTCATATGATGTGTGACAGACACACAGCTGTCATATGGATGCGTGACAGACACCCAGCTGTTATATGGATGTGACAGACGCATAGCTGCCACGTGAATGTGTGACACACACACAGCTGTCATATGGATGTGTGACAGACACCCAGCTGTCATATGGATGTGACAGACACTCAGCTGTGATGTGGATGTGCGACAGACACTCACCTGTCATATAGATGTGTGACAGACGCTCAGCTGTCACGTGGATGTGTGACAGACACACATCTGTCACGTGAATGTTTGACAGACACCCTTCTGTCAGGTGGATATGTGACAGACACCCTTCTGTCATGTGGATGTGTGACAGACACACAACTGTCACGCATATGTGTGACAGACAACCAGCTGTCACGTGGATATGTGACAGACAACCAACTGTCATATGTTTCAGTGACAGACACACAGCTGTCAGGTGTATGTGTGACAAACACACAGCTGTCACGTGGATGTGTGACAGACACCCAGCTGTCACGTGGATTTGTGACAGACACCCAGCTGTCATGCTGGTGTGTGACAGACACACACCCGTCACGTGTATGTGTGATAAACACACAGCTGTCACGTGAATGTATGACTGACAACCAGCTGTCTCGTGTTTGTGTGACAGATACGTTGTGTGACAGATACATATCTGTCACTTGTACAATGTATGTATGACATAGTAGTATTGTATCACATGGAAGACAGTACATGTGCTAGTGCCTTATAGGAACATTAATTCAATTTAATTTATTAAATCGGATATAAAACTGAAATAGCGCAAAATGTACAAATAACTGATTACAGGTAAAGGTAAGATATCGGAAATATCTAAAACAAAATAAGAGAAAATGTCAAAGTTGTAGTGATTGTGTGTAAATTAGGCAATTGGACTAAATATTTCTGACATATAACTACAACTGTATCTACAGGTGCGCAGTATTCAAATTCAGTTTTTCACATTCGTCAGTTTCGTTACTGTTGCATCATTTCTATTGGAAATTATCATGTAAACAAAATTTGCATTGATCTACGTTTTCTTAACATACGCATTCGAAAGCTACGGTAATACCTTACGCAATGTACACTGCAATCCTGCTCTGACAACTGTGTCAGATTGGGGTGTGCTTAGTAACACATAGAACACGATACAGCGGAGGTAAGAGAGTCTAAGTGTACACCTCTTGTATGTTCTATTTTACATCTAGGGATAAACAGAATAAAGCAGAAAACGGTTAATTTGTTAAATAATGATCAGTTGCTGGTGGTTTATTACCTGCAATTACTTCCTTTTGAACACAATGCAAAAGATAGGACGAATGATGTACTTTGTGCATGGACCATTTCTATGTATGTCCGTATCGCGCAGGCTTAACGGTCCGACTTGTGATGTACTACGTGTGATTATATATAATTTCCTCCCTCTGTGGGTATGTCCGTATCGCGCTGGCTTACCGGTCCGACTTGTGATGTATTACGTGTGATTTCCTCCCTCTGTGGGTATGTCCGTATCGCGCTGGCTTACCGGTCCGACTTGTGATGTAATACGTGTGATTACCTCCCTCTGTGGGTATGTCCGTATCGCGCTGGCTTACCGGTCCGACTTGTGATGTAATACGTGTGATTACCTCCCTCTGTGGGTATGTTCGTGTCGCGCAGGCTTACCGGTCCGACTTGTGATGTACTACGTGTGATTATATATAATTGCCTCCCTCTGTGGGTATGTCCGTATCGCGCAGGCTTACCGGTCCGACTTGTGATGTATTACGTGTGATTATATATAATTACCTCCCTCTGTGGGTATGTCTGGGAGTAGATGGGCTGTATGGTCTGACTAGTGAATATTACGTGAAATTATCTCCCTTTGTAGGTATGCCCGGGAGTGGCTGGGCTGTATGGTCTGACTAGTGAATTATTACGTGTAATCATCTCCCTTTGAAGTTATGTCCGCGAGTGGCTAGGCTGTATGGTCTGACTAACGATGTATTACGTGTAATTATCTCCCATTGTAGGTATGCCCGGGAGTGGCTAGGCTGTATGGTCTGACTATTGAATTATTACGTGTTATTATCTCCCTTTGTAGGTATGCCCGGGAGGGGCTAGGCTGTATGGTCTGACTAACGATGTATTACGTGTAATTATCTCCCTTTGTAGGTATGCCCGGGAGTGGCTAGGCTGTATGGTCTGACTAACGATGTATTACGTGTAATTATCTCCCTTTGTAGGTATGTCCGCGAGTGGCTTGGCTGTATGGTCTGACTAACGATGTATTACGTGTAATTACCTCCCTTTGTAGGTATGTCCGCGAGTGGCTTGGCTCTATGGTCCGTCTAGTGAATTATTACTTTGTATTCTTCAATGCTTGGTGCAGTACAATTCACAGAGGCAGGGCAGGTGGCATTCTTATTGAAGTTACTTTATATATTGATGAAAACTATTATTACACAAGGAATAATTTACAGAAAAACATAGAAACTTACTTTGTAACTGCCTGGAATACTTTAAAGACAAATAGATAGAGCTTGTGATCAGCTTGGCAGGCAGGAGTCTAACTGACCTAACAATGATATTCCCGCCAAGACTGACCAACAAGGGATTATAAAAATAGCGACCAATAAAAAGCAAGACAAAACATGGACTCTTGACTTAAATCACTGGGCGTAAACTGTTACACTGAAAATAACAACACATTACACAAAATACATAGAACACCGCACCCTGTAACATGTAACGCCAACAAATGGACAAACACATACACAAAACACACTGGGAACATACAAATGGATATTTATACACAATTATAACATTTACTATAAATGACAATAAAATTGACCCTGTTACAGGTATGTGCGCGAATGGCTTGGCTGTATGATCCGTCTAGTGAATTATTACGTGTAATTATCTCCCTTTGTAGGTATGTCCGGGAGTGGCTGGGCTGTATGGTCGCCACCAGGATCGTTTCACTGGATGACTCAGACAAATACTTCATCCCACAGTCACTAAAACCGGGACTGAAAGCTCTGGGTTTCACATTTTTCTATCCTGTCATGGGTCCTTTTACAGACAAAGCGAGGAACTGCTTCAAAAAGGACGGGCCTAAAGGTAGGTGTTTTGCAGTAGTATACAATGTCCTGTTATAAGTTTCCTAGCAGATACATACATTTTTCTTTTTCCCAAACATACACCCAGAAACAGTCAAAATTAATTAACCATTTATTAAATCATAATAAAATGTGACGTACCAATCTTATGTTTTATAGGTTTTGGCTATGGAGACATGCCACCTGGTGTTGTTGAAGCCATTGAAGAGAAAACAGGGGACCCTGACAGCATTGTAGAGGAGCTCCTTAAGCCGATCACCAAGCCCATAGGTAAGCTTTCTATGTATTTAGTGAACATCAATGAGTTAACATCATAGCTCATAGTTACATTGTTAGGTTAGTGTTTTTCTTACTACGCCCAGTCGATGTCCTTTCATACATTACATCGGCTTATAGACCAAGCTTACCATAATGGTGGTTTGGTATTTCCCCGTCTCACAAGAGCTCTAACGATATAAATAGACTCGTGAAGTTTGTAATTTCGAGAGATCATGTAAAGAAAAGTTTATTTTGAACACTAGAATTCAATCTTCTTCAGACTTTGCATTTTTATTGTATCAAATATATATGTTTCTAGTAAACGACACATGCATTGAAAACATACAATCAAACTTGTAGGTGTGAAAATTGTTGATTCCTTGAGAAATTAAGGAACGCTAGATGTTAGTTTATATTAAAAAAAAAAAAAAGAGGTCTTACTGAGTGTGTAACTTTCAGAGTCGTTGAACACCATACTTGACCTAGGCTGTGGAGGAGGATGTGCAACTAGAGCGTTAAGAAAGCGTTTTCCAAAGGCAGTCATATACGGCGTCGATTATAGCGAGGATGCGCTAACCAAAGCAAAATCAACTGCCAAAGCTCAAGGCACAGAAAACCTGCATTTTGTAAAGGAAGACGTGACATCATTGCCCGCCGACTGGACAGGGAAGTTTGACTGGGTCATCCTGTTAGACGTGCTTCATGATCTGCCTGATCCAGTTAATGCCATGAAAGAGGTTCGCCGCGTCTTGAAGGACGACGGAGTCGTGTCCATCGTTGATCCAGACCTACATAGTAGCCATAGAGACAACATAGGAGATGCTAACTTGGCAGGTGTAGGGTACGCCATCAGTTCTGTGATTTGTCTCCCTTGCAGTTTGTCGATAGACGGCGCAGCTGGTCACGGCATGGGCTGGGGAACCGAAAACAAAGAAAAGTTTTTAACCGGTTCTGGCTGGCTAGTGCAGGACAAACGAAATATCGAAAGTCCGTTTGCTTTGAACTTCACTTGTGTCAAAGCATAACCAAAGAACTAGCAAGTGAATCTCAGCATGTTAAGATATTACTCTTTTCTTCCGGGGAAAATGCTTTTAACCAGATATTGCTTTGAGAACACCAGACACTGTATATATAAGAGATAGTATACAGCACAGCTTTTTATCAAATATTATCACAACACTAAACGCGACGATGTAACAGCTGTACACATTTTCCAATTCAACATTAAATTTTCTCCTAAAAACTATATCTCGGAATTCTTGGATTGTGTTAAGACTATTAGAAATAAGACTTTACATTTCGATTAAGGAAGAATGCTTGTTGAAGTAATATAGTGTACACGCGATACTGATAACACAGTAAACCACAGCATCAACATGAAAGGTAGAACTCTACCTCACCATCATGTAAGTGGTGAAACTGGGACAAGTTTTATGTCTGTGAAATAATCTGTATGTATGACGACATTTGAGTCAGATTGTAATGCACTTTTTTGTAAAATAGCAATTAATCAGTAAATGGGAATATGGTTTTTCTTGAGTAGGTCATCTCTAAGTTACGTCATCGAGTCATACCATTAAGATAACCCTAAACATGTGTCATAAGCTTGACCTTAAACGCACATCATCAGGATGACCTTAAGGTCGAGCTGTTACGTTGGCCCTAAGGTCAAGCTGACACGATTACCTTAAAACATAGATTTAAGTCAAACAGTTATGAACGGATTATTATTTTATTTTTATCAATAAGTTATTTATCTACAACTAAAGCTTACTGTTTAACGTTATACAGTCGTAGTTGATAAAAATATGAATGTTGTTCTCTTCTATGATGTCCGTGTTTTATTAGATTAGGAAAACAACTGATATTTAAATATTCATAGGTGATTTTTTTTTTTTACCATGATACGGGCAAGTATGCAGAGGACACACTGTGTAAGCAACCTGTGTTGACCCTTGTGTGTGATTCTTGTGGGGGTTTTCTGTGATATTATGTAAACAGAACAGCCACCAAACAGCTGTAGTCGTTTGAGTGTTTGATTCGATGGTCTGTACTGGGTTATTTGAAGTGAACTGCTGAGCTGCACGGTCCAAATACAACTTGGCGACAAGCAGTAAACATGCAACAAAAGAGAAAGAATAGTACATGCATTCGTCAAGAAAATGTATACATGTCTTTATTTGCTTGTGAGAGTTTTGATGCCAATTTGTTTTCGAACTCTAATTATCAAATTAGACTATATGTGATTGACATCTTACACAGGACAACCAATCAAAATGGAAAATCGTATGTCGTGTTTGGAATGTATTAAATTTATACTAACAATAGTAGCAAAACATAATAAGTCTCATAGATGTTTGATACATGTAACTAAGTAACATATTGTTATTCTATCTATTGATAACTGAATAAAAAGCATATTTGGAAACAAAGCGTTGAGTTTATCTGGGTTAATTGATCCCGTGTTACCATCCTGTCTGAACTACGGATGTTCCAATGAACAAGTAACGGTATGTGACAGTGAGAAACAGGGGAAGAGACTTGGTCCAATGCAAATGGAGTGAACATATTAAAAAAGGATTCTTTTCGCATACAAATCGATTTATTACACAAATCAAAGTATATGTTCGGTCAGCGTTAGACCAAACATTACGTTGAAGGGTCATGATGGTGAACAGCCAAACTCAACTGATTGGGATTAGGATGGTAACCTGGGGTCAAGGGGCGAAAATACGACGAACAGTAGTTGAAGGCGTACATTAACCACATACTTTTTATTGCAGCAGGGACTTATTACAGGAACATGAACGATACATACACATACATGGAAAATGTATTTACGATGAAATTCTTACACTTTACTTAGCCTAACTCTTGCCTAACTAAATATCTAAGACTTGCATGTTCGACAATAAAAGCTCTTCTCGTCTTATTGTTTAGGAATCTATAAAATTTAATAAAAAAAATACTGTAGAAAATTTTATTTATTACATATAATACATGTCTACAAAAATTCGATTCCGTATGTTATACGTGAAGGAAATGTGTATTTTTTGGTTTTGAACATATTTTAATGTTTTTCTGTTGGTCTATGTGACCTGGTGGGGGTCAAGATCTTTTGATTTCAGAAGATAAACGGACGGTTATCAATTCTGGCAACCTGCCATATATCAAGACGCAAACGTCGACATTTTGGATTATATTTGATAGTGTGCCTTGTTATTTCGTAGTCACTACCCTGGTTCTCGCGATGAGAACATGACATTATTGGATTTGAACTTCATGAACACGACAGCTGTCGTCGATGAAACAGTAGACGTTTAACCTTCTGGCCCACCTGGTCTTATTATCTTGAGCTTTTCAAGTACCTCCATTTAAGCATATATGTTCATATTTCGCCATCTTATTATCATTTTTGAGTTGGAATTTCTGTTTAGTTGAAACTATTTATTCCATTGGTTTATTATTTTAGTTGATTGAATTCAGATAGTGATAAATTTAGGCGATCATGTAACAACGGGACTGTGTTTTTTTATTTTGATATTATTTTTCTTTTCTGATGGCTATTCGGCCATCACAAATTAATACTTTTTCAGATAGATTAGAGGCACATTCTATTTATAAATGTACATTACTGAATAATGAACTCAAATAAGGAGAGATGTCAAATGCTTGTAAGTAAAGAAAGGACATAAGGATAAAGATGTAGAAACAAAGATAGTATATAAAAAAAATCAACGTAGCAAGCTTTCACTCTGAATTCAGAAAAGGAATCCCATATTAAGTCAGACGTTGGTTTTCTTATATCTTTTCATATTTATTCATATACCGATAACAAAATTTGATGCATGGACCTATTATTCTCTACTGTATATTGCACATTTTAAACTGTGTTAAAACACTCGATGAAATAGTAAACATGGCAAGACTTAACTTTATGGAAAGGTTAACAACAGGCCGTTCGTCATGCTCTACTTCTTATCTACCGGCCGGCATCTAGCGATAATCAGGCGTTACCCGACACTGTTGAGAATGCACATATTTAAATTTAGCAGACACACAGATAAAGCCCTCACTGTCATTTAATGTACAATTTATGGAGTGTTTAAATGGAAAACATATATGACCTAGGTTACAATAAAACGGCAGTTTCCCGACTTTGTAGAGAACTTGTATCTACAGATTTGTAAAGATCATAATTCAAATCAAAATACATGTAACCGTTGAAAGAAATTTAACTTCAATCACTGTAAACACTAGTTTGACCTACATCAAGGTAGATAAAAGTAAACGTACATGACAAGGAATTTAACCTACAGCGCTTTAAAACGGAGATTTAACTCCATCACTTTAAACAGCAGTTGAAATTACATCACTGTTACCAGTAGGTTAGCCTACATCAAGGTAAACAACAGTTAGTTTAACCTACATCACTGTTAAAAAAAGGTTAGACTACGTCACTGTTAACAAAAGTTGGACTACAACACTGTTACCAGAAGGTTAACCCTACATCACTGTAAAATAAATTTGACTATGTCACTGTTACCAATAAGTTAACCTACATCACTGTAAACAAACGGTATGTTACATCATTATTACCAGTATGTTAGACTACATCACTGTTACCAGTAGGTTAGGCTACATCACTGTAAAAAAACGTAAGAGTACATCACTGTTACCAGTAGGTTAGGCTACATCACTGTAAACAAAGGTAGACTACATCACTGTAAACAAAAGGTAGACCACATCACTGTTACCAGTAGGTATGCCAATATCACTGTTACCAGTAGGTTAGACTATATCACTGTAAACAAAGGTAGACTACATCATTGTTACCAGTAGGTAAGCCAATATCACTGTTACCAGTAGGTTAGGCTACATCACTGTAAACAAAAGTAGACTACATCACTGTAAACAAAAGGTAGACCACATCACTGTTACAAGTAGGTATGCCAATATCACTGTTACCAGTAGGTTAGACTACATCACTGTAAACAAAGGTAGACTACATCATTGTTACAAGTAGGTAAGCCAATATCACTGTTACCAGTAGGTTAGGCTACATCACTGTAATCAAAAGGTAGACTCCATCACTGTTACCAGTAGGTTAGGCTACATCACTGTAAACAAAGGTAGACTACATCACTGTAAACAAAGGTAGACTACATCATTGTTACAAGTAGGGAAGCCAATATCACTGTTACCAGTATGTTAGCCTACATCACTGTTACCAGTAGGTTAGGCTACATCACTGCAAACAAAGGTAGACTACATTACTGTTACCAGTAGGGAAGCCAATATCACTGTTACCAGTATGTTAGCCTACATCACTGTTACTGCTAGATTAGACTACATCACTGTTACCAGTATGTTAGCCTACATCACTGTAAACAAAGGTAGACTACATCACTGTTACCAGTAGGTTAGGCTACATCACTGTAAACAAAGGTAGACTCCATCACTGTTACCAGTAGGTAAGCCAATATCACTGTTACCAGTATGTTAGCCTACATCACTGTTACCAGTAGGTTAGGCTACATCACTGCAAACAAAGGTAGACTACATCACTGTTACCAGTAGGTAAGTCAATATCACTGTTACCAGTATGTTAGCCTACATCACTGTTACCGCTAGATTAGCCTACATCACTGTAAACAAAAGTTAGACTTCATCACTGTAAACAAAGGTAGACTCCATCACTGTTAACAAAAGTTAGACTACATTTAAAATATATTTTATTGATTAAACAAAAGGATTGAGCAACAGGCTTTGCCTATATAAGCTCTCTCCATGGCTTCAGGTTAGACTACATCACTGTTACCAGTAGGTAAACCTACATCACTGTAAACAAAAGTAACACTTCATCACTGTTACAAGTAGGTAAACCTACATCACTTTAAACAAAAGTTAGACTCCATTACTGTTATCAGTAGGTAAGCCAATATCACTGTTACCAGTAGGTTAACCTACATCACTGTAAACAAAAGTAACACTTCATCACTGTTACCAGTAGGTAAACCTACATCACTGTAAACAAAAGTTAGACTCCATCACTGTTATCAGTAGGTAAACCTACATCAAGGTAAATAAAAGTTAGAATACCTCACTGTTACCAGTAGGTAAACCTACATCACTGTAAACAAAAGTTAGACTCCATCACTGTTACCAGTAGGTAAACCTACATCAAGGTAAGCAAAAGTTAGACTACCTCACTATAAAGAAAGTGAGCCGGGGGATTTTTTGTTTCCCCCTTTTTTAACACATCTTTCATAATAACTATGTTTTAGCAGAAAAGCCACACAACAACTAAACTGTTATCCTCTATTTAGACATGTATCCGACTTTCAGATAAATCAAAATGTAAGCGTAAATATGCATTTGTTTTTATCCTGGAATCATATCTCTGAAGGTCGGATGAATGTCTAAATAAAAGATAAAATATTGTGTCTGTTGTACCAAAAATTATGGGTATTATATAGGATTAAAAGTGTAAAATAGGAATAGTGTAACAACATCTACTGAACACCTTTTCGGCAATATTGTACATTATGTAGACCAAATCGTTCTTTGAATGATTGGTAAACCTCGAACGCTTGTGTGTGTCGGACGCAATCTTTTTTGTTATGAAGAGAAGTTCTAGTTTGAGTTATCGCCCCATCGCACATGCTTTAATAGACCGAGTAGAGCGGGGTCTGTAAACTATAGACCCCGGAAAGATATCCAATCAGAAAGAGTGTTACAAATTAGAAGTCAGACAATGTTGTATGGGTTAGAGTGTATTTGGGAATAACATACCAAAATGTGTTGACATAATTAAGCCGATATATAGCAAGGTCACAGTAACCTACCTATCAATAATGTGCTGCTTTTTTTCGGCCATTTTTATTATTTGAAGCTTAAGTGTTACACAATTCATTAAAATTATGAAGACTCTTTCAAATCATAATATGATGTTTTGTCAAAAAGAGATCATTTGTGATTTTGGTCCCCCACTTTAATCCGTCATTTCTCGGAAGCTGACATTAAATTCATGTCATATGACATAACCCCAAGGTATGTATATACAACATTGGAACTTATTGGTGATATCCACAAGGATTACAAACTTGGCACCGATCTAAATTTCAAGATTTTAGTTTATATAACAAGGCAGATGCCTTCATAATGGTGGGATTATGGTGTTTATTGTTCGTTAATAAGGTGTTCTATATATATCCGAAGATGGGAACAACTATAAGTTGGTGTTTTGTTGTTTTTTGGTGGGTTTTTTAAGATGCAGACATCTACAATGGAGATATCTTACAGCACAAATTTCGTCAATTTAAAAATCATCAGTTTTCCTAAAGGTAAACACAAAACAAACAAAAATTATAATTAAACATTACATGTTTAAAGTGTCAGGAAACATGTGACGAAAACAGGTGCCAATAAAACTTATAAGATTACAA